CCCCGCTAGAAGAGCGCTAGAAGCGCGCTAGAAATAGCTTCTAGAATGTCGGTAGAAGGTGCTATTGGCACTAGCAAAGTCAAGTCCGACCGCCACCGACAGGGGTCTAATGCACCAATCACAATGCCGGATCGGAGCAGGCGTTCAACTGCTACTTGGCAAGTAGCGAGTTTGCTGAAAGCAACGGCATCTGATCGAATCCTCCCCCCGCTAAGAAAACCTCTCTTTTCGGCCCATGCGCTGGCCGTGGCCCGTATAGGAACTGGGAGCTGCAGCGTCCAATGTCCTTGGGACCAAGTAAGCTTTACACTTTCCCAAACGAGACGGCTGATTTCATCGCGGCTACGATCATGTCCAGGACCATGGCATGACATGCTGGGAAGTTTCTTTTTCTCCTCAGGCCACCAAGTCTCGAGAGACTCTCGCAACTCGTGGTTTGATGGTCTGGTGGTCTGGTCGTTTGATGCACTGACGCAGGAACACACATGAGATCCGTCTCGCACCCGCACGTTCGCAATGGATATCGGACCGCTTCAAACCGAACCCGCCACACTTGCCCCCTTCCGCCCAAGGTTACGCTCGGCAATCTTGTCCCTGTCCCAGGACATGACCTCTTTCGTCTCGCGGGCTTGTCGTTTGGCCTAGAATAGATGCGGTTAAGGCTGCTATCTGCTCCAATGCAATGCAGGTACAGGGTTGTCGGCATGCACATCCATTTAGTCTTGCAAACCCAGTGGGTAGGCCTTGTATTCAAGAGCGGGAATTTGTAAATGCTGCCTACTGGTAGCTGATCTGCTGACAACCCTGATGATTGGTTTCCCCGATCAGAGTTGCGTTCCGTATTCGCCTCCTTGATGTCTGTTCTCGCTCTGGGACGTTACAGGAAGCGAATGATTGACCCTGATTCATTCCATCCCGTCTCGGAGGCCGCCGCCACCGACCTCGACTGCTCATTTCAGTATCGTGAGACCCGGGCAATCTTTTGTGATTGGCCAAATCGTTGTCCCCAGGTGGCAATATGTTGTAAGGCCCGGAAGGGGGAGAGACTCTTACCATGACAGTAATCTTGAGATATCACCTGTCGCCTGCTTCCAAGGCCACATGACCGCTGATCATGGATCCCTGGTGGCGTGGGATGCTGCAGGAGCCAATCTTATGCAGGAAAGCCTGGCATTTGATGAGATGAGCCAAGGCCCCCTTCCCAAACGATCTGACCGCATCTTTCCTCCTTACAAGGGCCTCTCCCCTTTCCGCGCCACCCCCGTTCCCAGAGCAGCGTCTTCCTCCACATTCCCAAATATCCTCGGCAAGGCCCATCGAGTATTCTCATACACCAGGAAAGTGACACACGTGCTGGGGACAACGCGCAGGAGGTTGGGAAAAAGACCTTTGTAATAGCCCACGAAGCCTTCGTTGCGCCAAATCTGTTGGACCAAGGCAACGACACCTGGGCCCCGCACGTGGGTGGTGGCACTCGGATTGTATGTCTGCAGCCGAGCCCGCACCAGTTGATGGGGATATGTCACGGTCCCGGCGAAAACCTTTGACAATGAGGAAGACATGATGGTATCTAGATTAGAGAGCGGCCCGTCTCTCTTGGACATTTTACGCCATAATTTGAGCTTCTCATAGGCCACAAAATACAGCGAGCCATGACTGACACCGACCAGCGTCGGGGTCAGACCATGGAAGAAACCACGGACTCCTTCTGTTTTGTATATTGCGCGCAACCCGTATATCAGGCCGGGATATGCACCCCTTTGGGAGGCGGAGGTTGAAAGCATCCGCGTCTTGACCACCCAGATTGGATTCGTGAGGACCGCAGCGAGAAGGCCGGAAGCAGAAGAGGCCGTCAAATAATCGACCGCTGTGAGCTGTTGACCAGGAGAATAGCCGCGAAGGTTTCGGATGACATCTTGAGCTTCACGGTACCACAAGAAGTACAAAGCCCAGCCAGCAGAATTACCCACCAGGTTTGGACTTAGGCCGCGATACAGCGCGGCCAGACGGCTGGGACCTTCATTTCGCAAAATATCTCGAAGAACGGCCCGAGAGGAATTCAAGAGCGGGTGGGCTGAAGTGTCGACTAAAGAGAAATCATCGTCAGACGGTCTCTTGACATGTCGGAGCAGCACCCCTACCTTGCAACCTCGTTTTGATGATATCCAAAGGGTGGACGATCACGGTGGAGATGATGCCGGCAGACAAGCCTGCAATGGTCTCAATAGAAGCCGGGGAGAGACCATGACTACGCTGAGACGTCATGAGCCCAGGAGGCGGGAAGGGAGCGAATTACTCGAAGGCTTAGAGGGTCGAGGAACCGAGGAACCGACTGAAGGTAGCTGCACCGAGATAGAACATCATGTCCAGGTAAGGCGAGACGAGGCAACGGAGGGATAGAGTTTAGAGCGGCGTGACCGCGGTTGCAGCGGCAGGAAAAGGAGGAGCAAGAGAAGGCTGTGAGACACTGGCTACAAGTCTGTGTTCATCACTGTACCTGGTTGAGATGGAATTTGATGCTCTCACAGATTCTCGGGTGCATGACGCACGACGAGCCGAAGGAGGCAGCCAGTCTTGGCAAGTCACCTGACCATAGTCACGTGATGAGCCACGCTATTACGGTCAAGCACACCACTTCTCCAATGTTGGGTGTCTCTTCCGCGTGTCTCCCTCCACTGGACACTCCCATTCTTCAATGCCCTTTTAAACGACCTCCACAAGCTGCGCAGGCGACTCGGAAAAAGGGTCTTGAGCAAGTCCCCGCCCATCCCAGAGCCAATTGTCACGTCGTATCGAGGCATATGCTCTCCACCTTTTTGAATACATAATTTCAACTGCTGCCACTATCGGGACTTCGGATCATTCAGATGCCATTTCACGCCACTTCTTGTCCTCCTTATGTAGTGAACTGTTGACGGTCCTGACAACTCTTCGAACCCAGATACCATCCGAGCTTCAACCACCTCCCTTTCGAATTCCTTTTCCGCGTCGTCGATCAGCCTCTTCCAGTGCTTGGGCGAGCATCAGAGCAGAATTCCGGCCCAGGGGCGACACGACCCTCAACATGGATATCATCCTAGAAATCGTCGACACCCTGTTGCTCGACCGCATCTACGCGACATTGTTACCTGCCAGTCCATCATCCTACCTCCAACAGAAGTTCAATCATGCCAGAACCTCCACTTTCTCTAGTATGCAGGAAAGCGCGACCCCTGCGCCGCAATATACATACATCTATGAGCCCGCTTCGCGGCTTGTCAGTTTGGACCCGACGGAATGGACCTACAGAAGCTCATGGCCTCGCGACAACATTTTCAGACAAGGCATTAGTCTGTTTGTCATAGTTTGGTGGGTTTGGATCAACCAGCTTGCCATTGGGCACCGAGGCCACTGCTAACCATCGCTGTTCCAGGTTCTTCGGACTCATTCTTTACTTCCTCTGCGCCTCGCTCTCCTACGTCTTTGTCTTCGACAAAGCGACTTTTCAGCATCCCAAGTTCCTCAAGAACCAAATCCGCATGGAGATCAGCCAAGCCATCCGCGCGATGCCTCTCATGTCCGTCTTGACTGCACTATGCATGCTTGCCGAAGTACGTGGCTACTCTAAACTCTACGACCTTCCCAGTGAAGGTCCTTTCGAATGGTACAGCGTCCTGCAATTCCCTTTCTTCGTGCTCTTCACCGATCTCTGCATCTACTGGATCCACCGCGGCCTACACCACCCGCTGGTCTACAAAACCCTCCACAAGCCGCACCACAAATGGATTGTGCCAACGCCCTACGCATCGCACGCATTTCACCCTCTCGACGGCTTTGCGCAATCCACACCGTACCATATCTTCCCTTTCCTGTTCCCGTTGCAAAAGTTCGCCTATATCGCTCTCTTCGTCTTCATCAACGTCTGGACCATCTTCATCCACGACGGGGAATACTATGCCAATTCACCCTGGATCAATGGCGCTGCTTGCCATACTCTTCACCATCTGATGTTTAACTTCAACTACGGCCAGTTCACCACGTTGTGGGATCGGTTGGGTGGAAGTTATCGGAAGCCGAATGAAGAGTTGTTCAAGAGGGAGACGAAAATGACGAAGGAGGAGTGGGAGAAACAGAGTCGAGAAATGGAGAGGTTTGTGAAGGAGGTCGAGGGAGAGGACGATCGGGGATACTTGAACGCGGACACGAAAAAGGAACAGTGAATCAGGAGACATTGGTCGACAACACAGACTGATCATGGATGAAATTTGGTGCACAATCCGGAGGAAGCAAGATTGTCTCTGGGCGCCGTTCTGCGAGGGATGAGAGCAGCCTGTCATTTCAGAGGTGACATTTCACCATAGGCCGAAACGGAGCCTTTGCCAAAGCAAGCAACAGCGAACCGAGTCATTCGTTGGCGAAGCTTGTATATAGACTTGCGTCCCACGAGTGGATAAAGCCAATATCTGAATTTTGGAGAACCGCCCTCCGAACTAGATCGAATCTGTAACAGGGTGTCTTCCTCGCTGCTGAATGAGAGAGGCTTGTCCTTATACTAGAAATGACCTTCATTTATCGTGAAAGGCTAGCTACCGTTTCATAGCCGTGTCTCCGCTCTTTATCAGAACCTTGACAATTAGGTCTACCTAATCAGGCGGCCACCTTGTCGGCATCCGTCCTTTTTGGTTCAAGGTCAGCGGGCTTTTCAGGTTCGGTCCCCTTCATCTGGCTGCTCAGTGCTCAATGAGGCCCGGCTTTGGATTGCTTGCCGTGCAGCTATATACTGTTCAAGGATCTTGTCGAGACGCCATCATGAACGTCGTCAATGATAAGGGATTCCAACTCACATGGGAACGGAGCCCACAGGAGATCTTACGTGCCGTCACAGGGCTCGCAGGGGTTGCGTACACTGTTCCAGCGGCAGGTCCTATAGGCCGTATAGGATTCGCATCCCACGGGCGCAGGCTCGTAAGGCAAGTCCGTCTCTCGTACATGTGAACAACTTTGGGTGATTTTCGCAAGCATCAATCAAAAATCGCGGTGTGAGACCAAGTTCCATCATGAAGCCAGTACTCCGTCATGGCGCCGCCGACGCTATACATCAGATGTTGGTTGGCTTGACCATTCTCGTCAATCCATCCAATACACGCGATGGCACCTCCGACGTCGTCAGCCCGAGCCCAGGCCCCTGACACGGCGTCCGCGCTGGCCTCAGTAGCCCAATCTTGTCCCGAAGCTTCTTTCCAAGCTTCAGCCACGGAGCGGTCTTCCGCAATCTGCTTGGCTGTCAAGTAGGATTTGGACAGGTCCGGACTCGGATACAAGCGCGTGGCGAGGTTGTAGAGCGCAGGTTTGTATGAGGTGTTCGTAAACCAGACATCCGTAACTACCGGCTGGTCAGACTCAGTGCGCTTCTAACAGATCCCAAAACACACGGTACATACGAGCGAAAGCGTAGCCAACGTTGCGCCTCAAAGCCTTGAAATCGCCATCCGGGTTGGTATAGAACAATCGCTCGAGAGTATCGGTGTTGTTATCTGCTATGGCAGAAAGACTACTGTCTTGGCCAATGGTCTGTCCCGGCGCGCATGGATCTTGCCAACCACCGTCGTAGTCCAATTCTTGCAGATAGTTATCCTGGCCGACATACAAGAGACGAAGCTGGATCCCGGCTGCACTGGTAGTGTTGCCCATTGCGAAATAGTCAAGCCGGTGGTGTTGGAGGCGCCATCACGGACGAGACTTTTCTCTCCATTCCAATCACATTCGATCTCATTTTGGCATCGGGCGGCGAGTTCTACAAGCTCAGCATTGGCGTCGAGGTAATAGAGGCGAAGCTGTGCGGGCCCCAGCGTCAGTGTCATTTTAATGGCAGGCGAAGGTTCAAGTTCGGTTCAAACTTACCTGGTCATAATCGCCATCTGTCCAAGACGCCGCAGCCAAAGATGAGCCTTTGAAGAGAGAAATGATCACAGAAACCTGGCCCCACGCTCGCCAGCCAGAAGAGTCAGATCCCTTGATATGGAGGGTAGCGCTATCGTTGGAACTGTGAAGCGCAAATAGAAACAGCTTGGTGAGTCGTGGCAATCCAGAGCCCGTGATGGCGATGCTGGGAAATTTGAAATCGGCCTTCTCGGCTGTCCCTGGAGCGTTTGAGGGAGACGACGTCGGCGAGCTCGGGCCCGTCGAAACAGAGTGGACTGAGCTGACTGATGGGCGAGTCGCCGAAGGTGTCAATGTCGCGGACGTCCTAGCACTTGCGGTGAGGCCAGTGTTCAAGTACAGTCGATATGAAGAACTGCCCTCACCTTGCTTGCGCGCTGCCTGAATTGAGCGATGCTCCACTTCCCAACACGCCTCCCAACACTGCCACGATAATGACCAAAACAAGAATAATTAAGTTGATGACAAAGGACCGCCGTCGAAGCCCCAGAATCCTGGTCTACGGTTGCCTGTAGCCGCGGCCCCATGGTCATGCTGTGTACGGTCAGGGTTATAAATAATGTAGTGTTCCTTCTCCTGCTCTGGCTCAACCTCTTTGCCAGCCTCTTGGTAGACCTCAGGAGCGTCTCTCCCACCGTCACTGTCACCGACGACGGTGACGGACTGGACGGCCTGCAACCATCCGTCTTCCGTATGTGGCACGGACGGATCCCGTGGTCCTGGAGCTCGACGATGAGGATGGGGATTCTGATCTTGATTGTTCGTACCTCGTAAGGATCCAGACTGCTTCGCGACGGGGGAAGTGGGGGTAAGGGCCATATGTCGCTCAACGACTGGTCACTGATCATATTGCGTTTCGGGCCAAAACTTCGGCCGTCCGCTGTTGTAGTGGCTGTAACCTAACCCAAAAATGTTGTGTAGAGTCGAACATCTGACGACTGTAGTCCTCATGCTCGAAGAGACAACATCGTTGCGCTTCGCCCTGGCCTCCCTGTCTCCATATATTATGAGCGCAGTTGCGGAACAGATGTCCAAACAGACCATAGCATAAATCTATGGAGATATCGAGCAGACTATATAGGAGACCGCCAACGGTGAGGTTTCGTACTAGCTACCTCAATTCTGTGCGAGTCGCACGAGGAGTACTATCACGCCTGTTGAAGGGTAGTGTGCTGTTCATCGTGTTGTAGTTGTTCGAAGCCCTGCACGGGACGGCACCGCATACCGTCCTAGGCTCTAGCACTTGAGGCGGGAGGCCTCGTATTTTAATGATCTATTGCATCCACCGGGTCATTTACCCAATACGCTCGTTAATTCTGGCGCCGACTAGACTCTTCAATAGAACCCCATTGAATAAGTCATCTTTATCCACCTCGCCATCAAGCACCAGCAAGTTCAATTCAGGGGAACCCCGGCTAGACCTTGGTCAACTTCACATGTCGAGCCACGGCATTTCTGAAATTGAGCTCCTAACAATCCTGTTTCTCTCTCTTTTGTTCTTTTGTTAGGCTCTAAGGGAACACACGAACTACTGTGTCTGATGTACGTCTGGTGGGAGCTGTATAAATGGTCACGCAACGTCGTCTGGTGCTTGGCACAATGACTGCGAGGAGTGTCAATCAGAAAACAGGGCTTGGATTCAACATTTCCCCGTGTTGATGAAGTCGCAGCAGCTCCAAATGGACAAAGACGTGGCAAGTTCGCTCGTCAAAGCCCGAGAGAGTGAGTGCTTTTTGCCTAAGAGGTTTCACCCCAACACCACTTTCGCATCAACTCAACACCATCATCTGATATTCACTCTGCCTCGTGTTTGTGCAGTACTTGCGGCTTGTTGAGGTAAAAGAGCACCCATCTTCCCAGAGCTTTGCAGGATCATGGAACTCGAGTTCCACCCTCTTCAAAGTCTATTCCACACCCGCAAATACTCAGTATATTGCCAAAATGTCAGGAGCCTTTCAGCCCACCCCACCCGCTCCCGAGGACAGAGCATAAGGGCACCAGCGGCCTGGTATCCACGATATCACCGACTGGGAGTAGGTCTGTGACGCAACTGAATGTACGTGCCGGGAATGACGAAACAATATCGACGCTAACGCAAGCCCTGATTCTGAAAACCAGGTCGAGTCAGAGAAATCCGCAAAAGGTAAGAGAGAAATAGAGCCTTCCTCTGCAAATCCCCCGTCTGCTACCGACCCTGCGAGCAAGGCCTTCAACTTCGTGTCACGAGGACGAATCAACAATCGAACACTATGACGGTATTTCCAAGGTTCGATGAGCTTGAGCTGTTCAATATCGCACGCCTTCAGCATCAGCTGGTGGAACTGCATATAGAACTTCTTGAACGAAAAGGGTTCTCTAAACAAGAAAACTCTCATCAGCTACCCTGAAGAAATACGGTAAGCATTTTACCCTTGCTGGAAGAGCTTCCACAGATGGATCTAAGATTACTCAACACAGACGAGGCGGTACTCACATTTGGAAGAATGGAGCAACTTCCCCGGCGAGCGAAAGGAACGGAAATTTCCTTGCCTGGTTATCCCGTGTGACTAAAGACGATTACCATGCTGATACAGTGAACCCTTTTTCTTCCTATCCGCTAGCGAATTGGATAGACGTCAATGGTGGTACGGGCAAGGACTGGATCAGGCGACGGGCTAATTGAGATTTTGCCCGAGAGTTGGACGAAAAGCAAGCCGCTCGGAAACAGGGATAGAATGTTTCGGCAGCCGTCTTCATCATGGCGCCAATTATCGTTATGCTGTTCGTCACACGTACAGGCCATCGGATTGCTATAGTAGCAAGCTTCCTGGAAGTTTTCTCCCTGATCGTAGTGTTGATGGCACAATGCTTAAACGAGGAGATGGCAGAGGCAGATACGAACCTTGCACTTGAAGGAAGATCATATACAGGAGGCGCCGCCCGCGAACCATGACCCCAGAACAGGCCCAAGATGGAAATTCCAATCTCATTCCTGAGCTGTTCTACCGCATCGAGGACGCTCGGAATGAGAATGTCGTATTTGTGGCTGACTAGAGAATAAGACAGGCACTCGAATGCACGACGTAGCCGGTTCAGCATCGGGGGATACTCAATACCTGCCTAGGACGTAGCAATGAACGGGTTCACTGAACTGACAGGAATGACTTGCACTACGGGGAGATGGAATGGCACTGGATTTCAAGACGAAAGGTAACTTCCGCTGCAAGAGAAGCACTCCATGGACCTAGGGTATCGTAACTAATATGCGGACTACCTCTCAGGTACAACCGTGGGAAAAATAGCCTTGTCGGACTCTATGCTGTACTTGTTTGTCCCCCCATCCTGGGCGAGGGGGTGGGAGTGGAAGAGCTGATCCTAGTCTGTGGCCCAACGAGGTATGAGCCGTTCCCTGGACATGCTGTAAGGGAAGAAGTGGAGTCGATGCCTGGTCCTGTGGCTGATATCGCTTTTTGTCGTTTCGAAAGTGAGGTCGGATACGAGACCTCTCAATAGCAAGAGCCGGCTTTATCCATCGACACCAAGTCGGGCCTCCGAGGCTGAAAGGTCGACTAAAGCCAACTCCTAACTCCCATCAGAGCTCGAACCTTTCTTACCTAGGGGAGGGCTTATGTTTCTTGAGTCCAAGTGACGAGATAGAACAGGCAGAGGCGACAGAGGGTTGTAACATAGAACAGGCAGAGGCGACAGAGGGTTGTAACATAGAACAGGCAGAGGCGACAGAGGGTTG